GATGATCCAGGAGAGGATAATCGCGCCAGAAGACGAGGACAACAGAAGAGGAGGGCCATCACAGACATGCTGTACCAAAACGCAGATAGCACAATTGACAAGAGATCATTTATTTTTGTCTGGTTTATTGCTATAATCATAGAAGTTAACTGTTTGCCTGTTCTATTTCCAAGTTGTTATGGGTTTGTTCTGGAGAAGTTTGTGCAACAATACAGCTGACTTTGTCCTTTTGAAACTTGAAATGAAGGTAATTACAAATGGATGGTTTAAGGCATCGTATATTTAACGACTGAACACCTCTTTTCTGGTTCATAATATAAAGCCAAAGTCAAGAAAGCCTATCTGCATTAGATTAAAAAATTGTAAGAATTAATCATACAAAAAGGATAATTTAGTATAATATTTATTGACCTCTTTCGGATAAGTTTTTCCTTATTTGATGTATATCCTCAGAGAAAGAAATGTTTCCAGAAATTCAGAACTAGAAAAAGTAATAATTTTGAATGCTATTTTGTCTCTTTTTTTAGGACATAAATAATCGAAATGTACACCTCATTTGACTTTTCTGTACACAAAATAAATAATTGGCAGGAATTTTTCTCCGACAGTTAAAAAAATTTAGAGACAATAAAAGAAACAAGTTCAATCGTCGCTGTCTGATTCCGAGTCACTAATCTGCTTTTGTTGCATCCGTATTAACTTTAATTGCTCTAGAAGGACTAATCTCTGCAGCTCCGCAATTGACAGCCCCTCTGTTTCTTCTGTTTCTGGAAGACTGGTTGTTTTAGTCCTCTTAATTGGCCTTGCAGGAATCTCCTGACTAGTGTTGCTCTCCGTCAAGGTCTTACGGCCATGATGAGGCCGGGACGTTTTGGGCGGCTCCATCTGGGATGTGGATGCGACAGGCAAATCTGTTGGAGCAGCTCTACGCACGCCAACACTTACGGCACCTGATAAAAATAAATATTAAATCTGTTTAAGTCCGGTGAAAAAAATCAGAATTACTTCTACAAGTCAAGCACGCAAAATCGACAGGGTGTATACAAATACATCATAATTTTGCTTACCTTGTACTCCACTGATAACTGAGGAGATCTGTGTTTGCATCATTTCCAGAAGCAGTTTTTCCCACTCTTTCAGCTTGATGGGTTTGTTCCCTGTTTTGGAAAGATCTGATTTCACTTTCACATCATTTTTCATGTTGTTGAGCTTTTTCATCAGTTGGTTATCTGTTAAGAAGGTGCCAGTCTTGCGCTGATACTCAACCGCCATCTGCTTAACAGCACATTCCTTTTCAGCTTTTATTTTGGGCAACTGTGATTTGGTCAGCAATACCTGGTGCTTTTTTACAAGTTTAACAAATATAATTTGCTTGCATTCTGTACTGGCAGAGCAATTTTCGTCATGTTTTTCGAGATCAGAATCACTGCCATCCGCCATGCTGAAGTCTCAAGATACAGCGCATCAGCTGCACTGTGTGTGTCTGATGTACGTGTAGACCATGAAAGCCCTATAGACCGCTTGCAGACGCGTTCGATAATCGACGCGCGAAGGCGCGCGACGAAATATTAGGGGACAGGCGTATATCAATTCACGCACATTTTGTCCCATAACATGGCGTCGCTCACCTTAGCGCGTCAATAATCGAACGCGTCTGCAAGCGGTCTATTGTGCAAAACCGTTCGGCTGTGCAGTCAGCCACAAGCATTAAGCATTTGCCACTATTTGTACAAGCAGATGCTGAACAGTAAAAGAAACATTTTATTCATACAAATTCAAGCAATTGCTTATTCTTAATGCTTTTACTTCTCAGTAAGTGCTTTTGCTGTTTGCTTGAACTTCATAGCATTTGCTAGTTTTTATTCATACGACCCAATGTAACCTACATGTAGGGCCTACATGTCAAATCTTTTGTTTACGCATTTAGAACATATCGTCGCAGAGCTGACAAACCGGCGAATCGACCATTTTTGCGATTTCGATTTTTTGTTATTTTTAGGCTTTATGAAGGTTGCTCTTTCAAGTATTTATGCCAAAATTCTTAATATTTGTCTGGATTTTGAGATTCAGAGCCCCCCTTGTGGCGAATCACTCACAAAAACAAATCCATAATTTGACATAGTGACGAATACGAAATTTCGCTGGTAACCAGCTTATATACGGTGTGCGTTCCAAGTACCAACGAATGTTATTCGTCAGTTTGTCGGATTGCGCGTGCGTGCACGCGCAATCCGACAAACTGACGAATAGCATACAAACATTTCGCTGGTAACCAGCTTATGTAAGGTGTGCGTTCAAAGTACTAACGAATGTTATTCGTCAGTTGGTCGGATTGCGCGTGCGTGCACGCGCGATCCGACAAACTGACGAATAGCATACAAACAGTGTGAAGAACAACCGGATATTGCAGTTTCATGTAATTTGACAAACTGACGAATGCGTTTACGATCAAATAAAATCATATCGCACAACTTCTCCGATTAAATAAGTGACCTGGTGGATACTTAGTTTCATATTTTATTCAGAATATATACTAACAGGTTTTTTTATCGAAACATTAAGGGTAAAATACGGCGCCCGGAGAAGTGTCCAACTTCAAACGCGAATTACTCCAAACAAGGTTTTCGCTTATTCGTCGGTTTGTCAGCTCTGCGACGATACAGTCATGACAGTACACAGTTTCCTTGAGAAGTTTTCAAGAACATTAATTAAATGAGTCAATGTGTCAGGCTCCTGCCTGCAAAGAATGACCTCCAATTCCTCCATCATCATGTTCCTGCATGATGCATCATGCATGCCAGCAAATCCTGACCACGCCGACTATAATTTACATGAAAGGTAAAAATCATATTGAAATTGGAGGATTCAGGACTGTTAGGATCAAGGAATGCATTGTGATTATTTATTGCGAATACGATTTTCTGGTTAATTGCAACTAGCAAGGCACACTGGCATGACTAGGTAGAAATATTTCTTAGATGAAAGTCTTCTACATGCACGAGTCGCTGCGTCGTCCCAAAGTGCGTGCTGTGGGATAGCTCAAGGCGCCTACGCTACGAGTGTTTCATGTGCGACATTACTGTAATGACTTTCTGTCATGGCAGGGCGTACGTACACAAAATCCTTGTGTCGCAGGCTAAAAACAAGGAGAAACTAGAGATGTGTTTGTGGACAAACACTGAGCTGTTTCGAAAGTTTTATTAATGACTGCCGTATTAGTTTCATCCAGGTCGAATGAACATGTACATGCATATTCTATACAAAAAGTGTCCATCCTATGTAAAGAAAAAAAAAACATTTTTCATGACGTCATGATGACGGCACACATTTTTGAAATTTTCTGTATCTATCTACGATCTAACAAACCTTTTGCAAAAAAGAATTTCGAATTAACCACGTTCCATTGATGAGATATGAGTAAAAGGTCCAAAAATTGAAGAATTCATATAAAATCACATGATGACGTCATCGTGACGTCACTGAAATTTTTTGTCTATAACGCTTCCTGGAATATCTGTATATCGAGATTGAACCCAATCGGACCACAGGTTCTCTGGATATAGTGACTTAAACTATGCAGTTTTAGGATGACGTCATGTGACACGTGATGACGTCATAATGACGTCATGATTCGGCATACATCTTCAGATGGTTGTATAAGTGTGTGCCGGGTTTGAAGTCGATCGGACCGTATTTTATATAATTTTTGCAAAATTTGAAGAAAATATTAAAATTTGAAAAATTCGTAAAAAATCAGATGATGACGTCATGATGACGTCACTTCAGATTTTGAATGCTGTTATCTATACCTACCTACCCACCAAGTTTCATAACGATCGGGCATACCCTTATATGTGAAACAAAAAATCATGTTTTTGATGACGTCATCATGACGTCACACATTTTACGAAATTTTGTGCATCTATCTATTACCTAACAAACATGTTACAAAAAGAATTTCGAATTTACCACATTCCGTTTATGAGATATGAGTAAAAGGTCCAAAAATTGAATAATTTAAATAAAATCACACGATGACGTCATCACGACGTCACTGTAATTTTCGTCTATAACACATCCCGGAATACTTGCATACCAAGTTTGAACCAAATCGGACTTCCGGTTCTGTAGATATAGGGCCTTAAAGTATGCTCTTTTAGGATGACGTCACGTGACACGTGATGACGTCAGCATGATGAAAAGTTTCGGCACACATCTTCAGATGGTGGTCTTAGTGTGTGCCAGGTTTGAAGTCGATCGGATTTGAAAAAGGTCCAAAAGTGCGGTGTAGAACGAAAACACGTGTTATCCTATGGGAAAAAAAGTGGAAGAAAAAAAAAAAAGAGAAAAAAAAAATAACAAAAACAAGAGCTGTTTCGGTGTGTACACCGAAACAGCTAACTACAAAAACTACATCTTCTGAGCAGAGTAAATACATAATCTGTAGGCTTACCTTTGAGATTTCCGTCTGAATCGCCGAAATCATGCCAAAACCTGGCCACGAAGGTCCCCACTTGTCACGACATGACACTGCATGTTCACTTCGTACGTCGTGACTTGATGAATTCCTGTTTTATTCACCCTCAATATTGGCTAAAATCTCACGAAAGCATGTCGACCCAAACATTTCGTCCATATCAACGTGAACCTAGATAACCCATTTATTGATAGATTGACCAAGTATGCGTAACACAACTACATTTTACTTTAAAAATAATGTTTTCTCGAAGTGGAAATGACGGCACGAAAACGCTAAATCGTACCAGGTCACAAGTCACACGCTCCATACAAAACACACATTATGAGAATTTGTGCACGCTAGATGGCAAATGTCGACTGTACATAGCTTCATTGATGGTTTGTAGAGTCTTATTTGGTAATCTGTTGCATATTCATTTTAATAAACCAATCGATCTTTATATCTTTCGCGGGGTATTTAAATCCACCAACGAAACAAAGGGATCGCTGCGCGTAATGTTTATTTACATCGCGTTAGGTTGTCACGTGGTATAACCACTAACTCCATCTCGCCAACAGAGGGCGTACTTTTTTATGCGTGAAACTGCCGTGTTACCCGACCAAGTGGCGGCGGCATCCTGACCAAAGGGAACTGGTGGCACCTCTTCACGCAAGCGATGTGCCTCCCGTGGATGTGCTGAGTACGCATATGGACTTGGCGGGTGCGGAGGATAACTGTCGAAGGGATATGGCGACTCCAGAAACCTCGACATCAAGGGATCCAACTTTTGAGTCCCGCCCTGAAGGCCGCTCCATGCATCTTGAAAGGATGACATCTGACTGGGAGCAGAAGCCGTTGCCTGAGGCACCCGTCTGAACCTGGACTTCGGGAACGCCAAGTTGACTGGGTGACTTCCCTCCGAGAAAGGAATGTAGGACTTGAAGTCAAACATCCTCATAATGTCTGGCATGCTCCGCACACCTGGAACTGACATGAGCATTTCCGGTGTGATGTCACCATGGGCACTCCGCAAATCGTCGCTTTGCTCACGAAGTGACAAAAACCTCAAAATTTGACATAAGTTCATTCTGAGATAATCGCATTTGAAGTTAATCATTTTTTCAAAGTACATTTTCGACCATTTTGCAGTAACAGAATTCGGAATTTTTTACATTGTCCGATAGGATATGATTTGCTCTTTGTTAGTTCATAGTTGTTTGTTAAAAGTAGTTCGTAATTAAACAGTAATTCATTAATACACAGTTTTTGTCACTTCGTGGGATCATGAATCTTTTTTTCGACGCAACAAACGTGTTACTTTAGCGCGTCACGACAGTTGAGCGCGCGCGCGTCTGTTCTTTTTCAACATCGTTCGCGCGCGCGTGTATGCTTCCATTCTGCCGCGTATAGACCATTGTATATTTTCTGGCCCTGCTCACGAGGTGACTTTTTGTCACTTCGTGAGAACATTTTACACTTTTTTACACTTTGTGAAAATGAAATTCACCGATTTCAGGCTTTTTGTCAATTGTTTGTTAACAATAATTAAGAAAGTAAACAGTATTTTGCCTTGAAACTTGGTCAAATTGTTCCTTGAGACAACTATAATAAAATGGCTAGTAAAACTCAAAATCGAATAATTATCGATTTTGGAGGTTTTTGTCACTTTGTGAGCAAAGCGACGAAATCTACGATTGTAGTTGCTAGAGCGTCGCCAACACCAGGAACAGTAGCTAAGTCCCGGTAAGAACAATAATTGATGGGTATCTTCTCCATCTTGAACTGAAAAGCAGTATGCTAGGATTTTCTGTTTTATTTCTTTATTCTAATCCTCACTGCTATTTATTTAGTCTTTTACTTCTTACTCTTTACAACAATGAACAATGCAAACTCTTTTTTTTTTTTACAATAACACCGAACAAACAATGCAAACTTTGCAATAATGTTTTTGTATTTAACACAATGCTACTGTATCTTTTTCAAGTAGGCCTAGCAACTATAAATCACAAAACTCTTCAAGAAAAAAAAAACGTATGTTGATAAACCGACGAACCTCCGTCAAAATCTATGTCTTTCCAAACTGACGAAAAATGTGAAAAACAAAATTATTAAAGCCAAAACAGGGGAAAAACAAATATTCTTTCACTTCCCAAGACTTATGGGATTTTAAGCTTAAATGCTTCAATCAATGCTTCTCCCTAGGCCTCGGTAATAGCTAGTTAATTCCAGGCCTAAACAAAAACGAGAACGAAAATTGAAAAAAAAACGCCTTTTCTTCTTCTGAATCTTCATGGCTAAAAAACGAAAACGAGAATCCTTCTTCTTGGAAAAAACCGTAACGAGAATCCTTCTTCTTCTTGGAAAAACGAAAACGAGCTCTGCCTCGGGTTGCAAAACGAAAAAAAACCGAAGAGACGATGTGACACTGGGCTTGCTAAAAAACCTCGCAAGAATACTCAGCTGTCACCAAAATCACGTGTAATTACAAGAATCTAATCGACAACGTAAATCGAAATCCTCCTGACGGTACGAAATCTCCACGTGCGTGATACTGCACGAATCGACTAATCGAAATCGAAATCACGTAATCAAAAATCCCCTAACGTTACGACTGCTAACGTTAGCGAAAACGAACTGATTTTACAAAAAATAACTCACAAAATTTGGGTCACTGAAACGTGCAATCCTTTACGTTTCAGATATCATTAACAATTGCGTAAACAATTACTAGTGTAGTGAATGCGTATTGAATAAAGTCAGTCAGGCTTGACGGCGTGAGTGGCCAGCCCGACACGTCAGTCTGATCCATGCACCGAAACAAACCTGACTTGCGTCTCGTTCCTCCGTTGCTGTTGGACTCCGGCTCTTTGGCGCCGTTCTCGCCAAATACCACATTGGCGACGAGGTAAATTCCTACTGCAGTGGTACTGCAGACCAACAGTTACGCTAAGATAATAGGGTTTAGGATTTAAGTTACGAACGAAAAGAAAAAGCTATCACCTTTTTCAATTAGAAGAGTAATTGTCACTGTGAAAATTTTCATTCGGCTGATACTTTCTACTGATTCGCGTCGACTTTATCGGCGTTAGTTGATTAATCGACGTTTGTTTTAAAGTTGCTCTAAAATCAACCATCAACAGTGACAATTCCCCTAGACTGTTTTTACACACATTGTAGGCGTGGTTGACATTGTCAATGATATTTCGTCGACATTCTCGGCGTTTGTTGAATTTGTCGACACTAAAACCAAGACCATTTTAAGAGCATTTATTAAGAGTTTCCTAGAGTTAAAGAAGATAATATTGTGATATTCTTGAAATTTGTATTTTGTTATTTGTATTGATCAGGAATCTGCTACTTATCGCATTGCGTGGGTCCGCTGTTTACAAGAAGCAAAAGAACTATAATGTTCATTTTTTTGCGGCACCAAAATATATTCTAACTGTTATCTGGACAAACTGCTGTGCGTCACTGACAGCAGAAGGCGTAACAGTTAAAGCAAGTGACTGTCTAGAAGTATAGACTTTGTAGCAGATTCTTTTCATAAGTATTTAATTATTGTTACTTATCATTACATGTACTGTCAATAATCACACTTTTGGGGAACCGTACTCAAACCATGGCCATAAATATCAATAAGGCGTCCGTAAAAGAATTAACTACATTACCAGGGATAGGAGTTAAGTTTGCCCAAAACATAGTTGCTAAAAGAGAAGAGCTAGGTTCATCGGTAACAATCGATCATTTCCATGATAACCCCGCCCTGCAAACAAAGCTAAACGAACTCGCAGAAAAGCAACTAATAATTATAGAATATGTCGAAACACCCTCAGCTGACCAACATGCCCAGACAGATATTGCACAACTGTCGCATGCTGTAAACTTGCTTACAAAACATATGGACACGATGGTCAAAACAATGGAAGCAAATTCTGCAGCAATGAAAGCAAATTCTGCAGCAATGAAAGCAAACTCTTCCAAAATATCAAATCTAGAGCTCAAAATAAACCAAACCCAGGGAAAGGAACTCTCAGCTAACGGGGGAGCAAAAGAAATTCCAAGCACTGGAGATACAATGATAGATGCCACTCTCAAAGCCATCGGAGAAAAAGCTCCGCCATTACCTGCCCACATTCTAAGCACAATGCATTCCAATGCTAACGGTGAAAAGAAACCACCGGCTGTAAAGGAACCGTGGGAGAACAATATGCAAGTGCCAATCAAAGCCGAGCAAAAGCCCAGTCTAACAATGCCTCTTGGAATTTCTGCCACACCCGGCCAAGCCGCCTCGCCCGCAGAACAAAAGCCAATTGAAAACGCTGCACTACTGAATGCCATGCATGCCTCTAATCAAATTTCAACACATGTGGCTGACCTAAACCAACCATCAACCCAGAATGTAGTGGGATTAATACCTGTTGCTCCGTGCTCTAATAATGCTGCGCACCCACCAGTGAGAAACGTACCTAAACTCGCCCCATACAATGGCTCAACTGATTTTCACGCGTTTGTAACCAAGTTTGAAATAATGGCAGAATGTTGCAAGTGGGATGAAGACACTAAACTCGTACAGTTGGTGGGAGCGCTTACAGGCAAAGCTTTAGAGAGTTACGCCTGGCAAGAACCTACAATTAGGCGCAATTTCAAGCTAAGTAGGGACCAGTTATTGAAGATGTTCGGGAAAACCAAAGATCCAATAATTAGTAGGGCAGAACTTGCTTCAATCCGGCAAAATGAAGACGAGACATTGGAAGAGTTTGGGCAGCGAGTTAGACAAATTGCCACTCGCGCATATCCAACGGCAAACACAGATGTGTTTGAAACCCTTGCAAGGGAAGCTTTCTTGAAAGGTTGTAGTAATGTTGAAGCTGCGGAACTAGCACTTTTCCGAGACCCGCAAACACTTAACCAAGCAGTGCAATATACTCAAACAGCCACACACAATCACAAGTTATTGTCACGCCAAGGTAGACCACGGGTGCGACACGTTTCCTTTAGCGATCAGCCCCCTGTTGATATGCAGCCAAGTGTCCAACAGATCCAAATACGACCAACTGGCAAAGAAAGTGTCGATGTTCACGTCGACTGGTCAGAGTTGAATAGGAATATTCGTGAACTTTTAGCTTGCCTAAAGGAAACGACCGTTACCCCAAGTGTATGTGGCAAAACGGAGTCCCCGATTCCTCGTACAATAACGACAGTAGCGGACCGCTTTAGCCGTAGCCCTTCGCCGAGGCGGAGTTCGCCATATTTGCGTGGCCCATCACCGCCTGCATCGCCCTCGAGGCAGCGGTGTTTCAAATGTAATGAGATAGGTCACTTTGCCAGGGATTGTCCCCATAACGTTACCTCTCACCCAACATCACCGATCCGCAAAACACAATTACCACCTTTAAACCAATAGGGACCGATTGTGCCGGCCAACAATCGGTGAACTCAAAACAAAAAGGCCAACCAATCCCTTTATCCACCAAAGTCAACGTTAAGGAAACGTCATTAGTTCTAGACGAAATTCAGTTGTCAACTAATCCGGGTATAAGTTTGGTAATCCCGGTTAAGGTTCAAGGTGTTAATACACACGCTGTGGTGGACACTGCAGCGCAAGTGTCTGTAATCAGCAACGAGTTATTTGATCAAATCAAACACACTACCAAGTCATGCGAACAGGTAATCCTCAGGGGGGCGGGAAAAAGCAGTACATTAATTGCCAACAAGTTTCCAAATGTACCTCTAATCCTCGGTGACCGAAATTACACATGGGACTTACTGGTAGCTCCTATTGAGGATTCGTTTATATTAGGCCTTGACTTCCTTAAAGCACACTCCGGAGTGATCAATCTAAATGAGGATACATTGAACCTTAACGGGTACCAGATCAATGCACAGATGAGAAAGAATAACAATGAGAAATACTCTGTTCAAAGGGTGTCATTAGCAAGGAAAGTGGTTGTCCCTCCAAACACTGAGATTGTTGCTAGAGTCAAATTTTCCACTCCATCGGATAAAACATTTTTAGTCCATGGCCCGGAAATGTGTCATAAGGGAATTCTAATACCGTATGCACTAGTGTCTCTGAAAAACAATTCGGATACAAACTTGGATACAACAAGTCACATATGCCTCCGTAACGATAGTGATAAGTACATACATCTAAGGAAAGGTCATGTGGTTGGAAGGGCAGAAGAAATCGACTGTGTAATGCCGAGTGGTAAACATAAGCTGAATACAGAAAATTCCTACGGGGAAGTCCGGCGTTTGTCGGGCGACCCCTCCGTAGTGATAGGCGGAAGTGGAAGCGGCAATCCGAATCCCAACAGCAAAAGTCAAAATTCCTACGGGGAAGTCCGGCGTTCGTTGGGCGACTCCCAATTAGAAATGGCTGTGCGGGAAGTTAGTCAAATCCCCTCGCATGTTTTGGAATTGTGGAGCAAATCGAGGGAACACTTAACTTCTGACCAATCGAACCAGTTAGCTGGTGTCCTTACTGAATACGCCGATGTCTTTTCTAAAAACGATAGTGATTTGGGACAGTTCTCAGAAATCAAACATTCAATTAATACAGGGAATGTAAACCCTATCAAACAAAAAATGCGTAGGACACCATTAGGTTTTGAGGCTGAAGAAAAAGTGCATCTAAATTCCTTGCTTGAATCAGGTGTGATACGGCCATCGGCTTCGGCTTGGGCATCACCCCCGGTATTGATAAGGAAGAAAGACGGCAAGGGCCGTTATTGTATAGACTATCGAGCTCTCAATAATGTCACGGTCAAGGATGCATTTCCGCTCCCAAACATTGAAGAATGTTTAGATGTGTTAGAAGGGA